AGAAAGTATACATTTCAAAAATATGTTACCGTGCAATAATAATTACTGCTATTAATTTTATAATTAATATTAATAATGATATTAGATAGAACCTTATATGTACATATATGTATCTATATGATATCGTTAATACTTTTATACAGAGTGTACAAAAGGTTGGGACCAAACTGAGCCTACGTGTTACCGAGGTGAAATAGATGAAAAAAGTTCATATAAACTTATGTCCAAAAAGGCATTTTCTTCCAAAATATGACACATTTAATAGCAACATTTAAATGTTCCATATTTTGTATTGGAGCAAACTATTGGCTGTAGATGACTCCGTAGATCAAAATCAAATGGTAACATATCCGGTGATCGTGGTGGTTAAGCAATAAAACCATAACTGCCCAACCGATATTCTCTAAACTGCTGAGAATAAGTGGCTGAGCTAAATAAAGTGCTAGGCTAATTTATCACGAGTTCACATTTTTTCTTTCTTCGAAATTGTCGACAGCTCGTAGATAAGTTCTGAGATAAGTTTCTAGTAATACAATATTTACTCCAGGTTCCTGATTTAAATGTAATTTCGAGTCTTAATAATAAACACAAGTTATTAAGGTGACTTTGATCATTTTTGAAGAACAAAATTTTGAAATTTTATTTTTATTGCACTATATAGCCAACTAAAAACTGATCGACTTTTCTTTAACCATTTTTTTTTCTTTTTTTTTTTTCGAATTATCGTAAGTACTTGAAAAATCGTAATTAATGATACGGCCACTTTGTATATCCTCAAAAATGAGAGAAATACTGTTAACGAAAATCAATCATTTTTATCAATTTTAACATGTTTAGATGATATGTAAGTGAATTTTTATTTTCAAAAAACTTCTTTTCACAATAATTTTTTCTTCTTTTTTTCTTGCAATATACAATCAATGATTCACCCTCAGTTTTAACAAAAATCGGATTTTTGTAAAAACTATCGATTTTAAACGAGAACAAAGTATCACGTGAAAACTGTTAAATGACAAAGGAGAGAGTCCTGAATAAATTCGTGTCTATGATTATAATATTTTAAAGTTATAAATGATTATATATAGCCACTGAATTTCAAAAAAATACCAATGTACGTAGCTTCTATGTACTATTTTTACATTTTTACGAAATGTTATTTACTATACAGTATCATCTAGCACAAATTTTCTATACACTGCCGAATGCGAAATATTTTTCAATTCTCATAGATTAAGAAAATATGCACGGAGCAAGGAGCCATCGCTCGTTTGTTTCGCGTAAGTAATGCCTCGTCTTCAAGCTCTTATACGAACGAGATTTCCAGAAAGATTAACGGACCGTAAAAATCACTAAACTGTATACATCTCAGCTATGGTGCCCATTAGCGACCTCCTTCGCTAATATTCTAGAATTCCACTTATCCTATTAATGGACAAGCAGTTCATGCACATAAAGTAACCAAATCGAGTCGATGTTAATATAAATGAATTCAATAGTATATTTATTCGTCTTACTATTTATATATTTATATATTTATATTAACGAAAACATCGATATTTTTTATTGCTTGATAAACATAAGATATTAACACGTAGTAAAAATGAAATAATATCAAAAAATAGAAATAAAATGAATATTAATTTAAATTTATCAAATATTATAAATTAATTTTATTCTAATTGTAATTTCATAGATTTAATAGCTATATTTGGAGAATGGAATACATCGATACATTTGAGTACTAATCCATTATCACAATCTTTTGTTTCTTCCATTTTTTATCTATCTTCTACTTATTCTATTTCCATTTCTGCTTTCCTTTCCTACATTTATGTATATCTTCGCCACAGCGACTTCGTCATCTTCGTTTGTTACTTTCGCTATTATTTTATCATCGTTTATTATCATTTTAAAATTCTAATCGCTACTTTTAAATTATTTTTCAATGCCACTTTTATTTTATACAACGTCAAATAAATATTGCTTTACAAGCATTTTCAAATTCCATTTGCTCGTCACAAAATAATCAGAAATAATCAGAAATCTACAAATATTTTTATAAATTCTTTCGTGACACAATTCAGCAACATTTCATAACTATATTTT